AGACCCACGAGAGAAATTGACAGTTAAGTGACTAATATGTACAAGTGAACAATGATGATATGATAAGATGCAGACAACCACATCCTGAAATACAATGACAGCAGATGTTTTAACATAAAAGAAGCAATATGACAGTTATTACAGGAGTTTTCAACCAAATTGGTTGGCTCTAGGGGTAGCACTTCTAATTTGTATTCAGGAAGTGACAGATTTGAATCTTGGCTGCTTCATCTGACCTAGGTTTACATGGTTTTCTTCAGTTCCTGGAAGCAAATGCAGGGATAGTACCTTACCATAACCTTTCCGGTTCATTATTCGCTAGTATCTGATAATTTGATGCTATATACTCGTACCAGCAGCTTCGTTAAATACATCATAAATAAGTAAAAGTAAAGTATGTTATCGGGCAATACCTTTCTTTATGTGCACATTTATTAAATATAAATCCAAACAGATGATACCCCTGGCATTGTTTCTTCATTACACACTAACAATAATAATAACAATTGCTCATGACATGATTAAGTATTATCTCTTTGAACAGTATGTGTCTTGTATGGCTGAGGTGTGACAGAAACTAAAAGTAAGTTTTGAATAGACGGCTGAGGTTTCACAAGCATCGAATATTGCATCATACTAATGAGAGATGCAGTATTGTCCAAGTATTGCAAAATACTTGGCATCAATATCATCAGTTTCACAGTGTTTTCCTCATGTAAAGGTACCCAGTACAATACATTATTTAAACAAGTTCCTAGGTAGAAACTGGGAACTAAGATATACTCGCAAAGTACCACAGTAGGTTTAAGAAATGTGTTTTACTATTGAAATCGATGGCTTCCCAGATACATAGCACTGTATAATTATTTAAAGAAAAATAATTACATCCCAATTTACAATGTATTATTATTGCTATTATTATTATTATTATTGATGATTGTAGGTATACTATGATTACCATTTGTTACCAAAGTGCTTCCCAAGAAGTAACATTCCACCATATATATCTTTATGGGAATGAAAATTATATAGAGTTCATATTTATTATTGCACTGTGTGAGTGTGTGTGTATGTGTGTATGCATGTGTTTTGGATGATTTGCATGGGGGCAGAGCGTTTCATTTTGCATATCGGTACTCCCATGCTGATGCCGTCATCTCATTCTCACATTCTTGTTGTCATATCACCATTCTAGTCATCAGAATATACTTGTACTGTGTATGTGAATTGCTAAAATATTTACTGTGACATTTTAAACAGTGTTGTTTATTTAGTATTTTATCCGTTTTATATGGGTGTGAAACTTTATTGTTCAGTCTGAGGGAAGAACATGGATTGACGATAAAGTCTGACAGTGGTATATTACACTTAGAATGACTGAGAGTCTGCACTTTATCCATTTCATATTCTAAAAGAATGTAACATTTAAGAAACTTGTACTGTTTCTGCCCTCAGGTGAAATGGTTTGGAGGAACATACTCAGGTGTATTAGGACGAAGTATGATGTTCAGTTGCCAAGATTAATTCATTCTAATGGACTTCAGTTGCTCCTCACCATTTTGTATGAGGACAGGAACAGTTGTTTTTTCACAGTGTAAGATGATGGATAAAATCCAGAACTCTGTAAACACAAACAGATTGAAGATGTTTGAGAACAGTGTGCTGAGGAGAATATTTGGACCTAAGAATGATGACATGTTAAGGAACCAGACTTAAATATAAATGAGAAAATTCTGATTTGTACCCTTCACTGAAGATGAATAAATAAAAAATGATGAATTCTAAGACATGTACCATGCATGGGAAAAACAACAAATGCATTCAGAATGTTATTAGGGATACTTCAAAAGAAGAAGTTACTTATTAGCATGGGCTTAGGTGGAAGGATAATGTTAATACATTCATGCCCAACACCTTTGCAGCTGGTCTTCCTCCCAACCCACCAAATTTAGCAGTACACTAGCAGTTTGCAGTATTTCACAGTAAAGAAGTTAATAGCTAACATTCTACATATGTCCGAAAGATCACAAAAAATGGCTGTATGCACTGTGTAGTGACGGAAAAAGCTGCTTGTTTGAGACTGTTTCAAGAAGAAAAATTGTTACTGTTGTTGAAGCTGTAGCCTTAAATGACCAGACTCCTATACAGTAGTCTGGAAATGGCATGTATAAATGACAAACCCATTCATGGGAGGAAATGTATTGAAATGATGTTCGAGATGTAGGTAACAAAGATTTAAACTGAATTGAAGCAAATCGGGATAAGGTCCTATAATGATTTTTTTCTGGTGGGAAACCCAGCAGGAAAGAGGGCACTAGGAAGATGTAGACATAGGGGTTGATAATGTTAAAATGTATCTTAGGGAGATAAGGTGGGGTGGTTTGGACTGGATTGATCTGGCTCAGGATAGGGGCTGGTGGAGAGCCATTGTGAACATACTGATGAATCTTCAGGTTCCATAAAATGCTAGTGGCTGAGTGAATGGCAGCTTCTTAATAAAGGCCTAGCTCCATGGAGGTAGTTTTGTGTAGTAAGCCAGTGTGATGTCTCTTGTTGGTGCACTCTTACCATGGCTGATCAGGTAGGAAAGGCAGCATCGCACTGAATAAGCAAGCATATTGAAAGACCATCCCATAGCATATTCACAAAATATCCTCCCTGCAATAAGGGATGAGGAGGGGTACATTACCACTAACCGGAAGTCCGTCAGTACTTCAGTCACTTCTTCCATGTGGTCAGTCATCAGAGCTACTCTCCATGTGTTGCCATACAGCAACTTGTCAGATCCAGAACTTTCATTCTGAAAAGATCTTTATTTAAATGTCATGTAATCTTTGCTGAGTGTGCTTGAGAACAGGGTTCTGAGGAGAATATTTTGTCCAAGGAAAGAGGTAGTAAAAGAAGACTGGAGAAATCTGCATAATGAAGAGTTTCATATTTTATACTCCTTGCCAAATGTTATTGGGCTGATCAGTGATCATTGAGAATGAGATGGGTTGAGCAAGTAGCCTGCATAGGAGCAAACAGATCCATAGCAAATTTTGATAGGGAAACATGAAGGGAAAGACCATGCTGAAGGCCTGGCATAAATGTGAATATAATAATAAAATGGTTCCTAAAGAAATTTGATTGGAGTATTGACTGGATTCCTTCGGGTTCAGGACATGGACCAGTGATGGGATCTTGTGAACATGGTAATGAATCTTTGGGTTCCATTAAATTCTTGGGAATTTCTTGATTATTTGAGCAATGATTAGTTTCTCAAGAAGAATTCAGCTCATTGTTGTTAATTTAATTATGGTCTTCACCAATTTTTACAAACCCCATGGAGTAAAGACTTTCTTGAGAAGCTAATTCACTCAGCTAGCCAAGAAATTTCCTTCCTTTTATGGAACCCAAAAGTCCATTATGATGTTCACAAGAGGTCACCACTAGTCTGTATCCTGAACCAAAAAAATCTGTTCCACATCCTCACACTGTATCTCCGTGAGATCCATTTTTATATTATCCTCTCATTCTTGCCTAGTCTTTTCCTTCACCAGTTATTATTATATTTATTATTTTATTTTTAGGCATAAATCTCTGACTGTTCACAATTACTAAGATTCAACACCACAGATATCACAATCAGGCTTCTGCAGTATAACATAACGAGAAATATACATAATGGCCCAGTGGTCTATGGATGTTGCATAAGAGAGTTGAGGTGAAAAACATTCAGTGCTATTATGCCAGTTTCAGAGTGTCTCTCCACTTAGTCATCCTGGTCTTCCAAGGATACTTGTTTGTAATGGAAACTCTAAATATATATCTTTTCAACATTAGATGCTTTTCTACCAAATACACCACATCATGTTAAATAAGACAGAATTCTTCATGATCACTACAAATTGTGTATTTCATTTTCAGTATATTCAAGTTTTATGCCAAATAATTGGTGAATTTTCTCATATTGTATGCATTTTAAATGTTTGAATTGTAGCATCAGATAAAAAAAAACGTTTTTGATAAAAAGAGAATATGCTTTTGCCACAAAATTTAGACTGAACCCCACATGACCAGTATTCATTGTCATGTAAATACTTACAGTAAATGTGGATGCGTAAGGTTCATTACATACATACATAATTGAACATCTATGACTAT